GATTTCTGGGGGTAGCTCATTCCAAAGGGTCGGGGCAGCCACAGAGAAGGCCCTCCCCCGGGAAGCCGCCAGCCGACACTGTCTGGCTGACGGCATCGGAAGGAGGCCCCATCTGTGGGATCTTACCGGCCGCTGGGAGGTATGTGGCAGTAGGCGGTCTTGAAGGTACGCTGGCCCTAAGCCATGTAGGGCTTTAAAGGTAATAACCAACATTTTGGCCTGTAACATGCTGGGCAAGGCCTCTGAAGGCCTAAATGGAACTGCAGAGGGGTGCATGGGGATGAGGGGCTGGAGAGAAGGCTGCTTGCTAGATCTTTGCATGGTGAGTGACCTGGCGTGGCAGGATGGGTGGGGAGGGAAAAAGCAATTGTGGGAGGCATGAGGTATTTCAGTGGATCAGGGGGGGCTTTGGTGGTCTTATGCTTGTGGCCTCTTCCATCACTAGGCCCCTCCCATGGCCTTGTCCACCCTGAAATACCTTGGAGCCTCGCGTTTGATTAGTGAAGGTGTGGGCAAAAGGAATGATCCCGTTCAAGGTGTGAGATTCACTCCCACGAATCCTTGAGTTACGAATGGAATGGGCAGGCTGCGTTACATTTGTAATTCAAGGACTACCTGTAATCAAGATATATCCTGCAAACTATCCATAAAGGAAGCTGTATTGATGTTTAATAACTACTTTCTCTGCCACCATCTGGAGAACACTGAACAATGATGATGTTCATGGCAGCGTTGAAGGAGAAAGCCATTACTCTCCAAAGAGAACATGGTTGCCTGTCAACCATTTATGAAAAACCACAAGGAAAAGCCAGAAACCTGTTTATTGAATAATGTTCTCTGCATGGGTGAAACCAAAAGAGAAAGTTTTGGCTTTAATGAATTGTTCCTTGGGGATGGGATTACTGAAAGCAAAAGTTTGCATATTTTTGTCACTCACATATAAGTAACATTAGATCGTTTTCATCAACAAATAAGTGAACAAGTGTAATGCTTTTGACTCATCAATTGGGTTCCTTTTATCTATAACGCACGTGGAAACAGATTGTGTTTTAGGTCATACTTGTGTGCAGAAATATTAAAAATTCAAAAGGGTTTTCAAGTTTTTAAGCGCTGTTGTAATTTTAAATGTGTCCATTAAAAAAGAAACAGTCTACCCCCCGAAACATTTAAGCCCCATAAAAGAAAAAAAAAGTAGAACGGATTTAAGAAAGAAAGAAAAAAGCAGAACAGGTTTAAGAGGGTTTATGGATTAATAGATCCTAGAAAATTATATGCTCTTATTTTAACCCAAGGGGAAAGAGCCGTGGGGCGCAGTGGATAGAATACACTACTGCAGGCTATGTCTGTCCATGGCACGACAAAACCGCGGTCCACTAAACCGTCGACCGCGGTTTTGTGGTGGAACCATTTCTGTCGCCTGCTGCCTGGTCGCAATTTAGCGATGTCACCAGGGTCAAGGTTGACTTACCCTTCCATCCTTCCAAGATTGGTAAAATGAAGACCCAGATTGTTGGGGGCAATACGTCAACTCTGTGAAACCACTTAAGAGAGGGCTAAAAAAGCACCGCGAAGCGGTATAGGAGTCTTAAGTGCTCTCGCTTGGTACAGGGGCGCAAGTACAGTATGTCTTCTTCTGGAAGACGCTATTACCTGGAGGACCTTTGATTGGCGTTTTAGGTGACTCAATGTGATCCCTATGAATGGATTTTGGACGGGCCTTCTTCTGTTTGGAAAAATGAGACCGATGTTTCAAGACAATGTCCATGTCTTCCATTAGCTTCAGTTGCTTTCGCCGCATATATTCCTGTCTGATAAAGTCTCGCCGTGCCCTTTCGTCTTCCTTCTTCTGACGTTCTTCCTCAGACTTCCTCCTTGAAATTTCAATATCATGATTATTAAATCCTATTTCATAAGAACACTCCTGATGATCACAAGTGAGGCATACTATACACCTCCTGACCTAATGAGATCTCCTTCCAAGACATATTTTCCTTAGCAGATTCTTCAATGCCTTCCACAGTGACAGAACTCCTAATGTTCTGCCTTCACTGGAAAAGTTGGGATACATTCAGAGATTTATCTGCCTTGAAATTAGCCCACGCTGAACTATACAGCCACAGCCAGCATAGGAAATATTTTAAGACATTTTGTATTATGTCATTAACTGTTTTATGATATTTTTGATGTTATAAATCCATTTTAAAAAATTGCCAAATTTGAATTCCGCAGGAATCATGGGCTTCAGATTTTAGATGCATTCTGTAAATTAGCCCATTTGAAGTATCGTGGCTCAAAAAGTGTTGCATTATGATGCATCATTTCACTCACTTAAAGGTTACTGGAACAACAGCTTTAGTATTACTGTCGAAAGATTCAGACAGTCCCTTAAGAGCCAATTTTTACAAATGATGCATTGTGATATCAATCAGTGAATACCTATGAGAATCATATTACTTATTTTGCATAAGACTTAAAGAGAAATTAGTTATTTGAAATACTATATTTTTCAAATTGGGTATAAAATACATTTTGGAATACTGAATTTTCCATGTGGAAGCATATTATTATTTTGCAATTAGACATATTGGATAAAAAAACATCCTCCTAAAAGTTGGCATGCAGAAGAACTGAAAATGGTGTGGGGCAGCCATCTCAAATTTGGTGCGTTCTAGCCAACTATACTGACTGGAGATTATGGGAATTGAAGAGCAGTACATCTCAATTCATTATGTTGATGACCATTTCTCTATTACAGTGGTTCCCAAACTTGGCAACTTTAAGACTTGTGGACTTCAAGGTTTTTTTTTTTTTTTTTTNACATCTTCAAGTTGCCAAGGTTGAGAAACACTGTCTTAAAGTATACTTGTAATAATTCGATAGAATGAACTAATGTGTTTAGTTGTGGATGATCGCCATCATTTATAAATTAAACAAGTGATAGGCGTGTTTGTGCGAATAAACATGTAAAAAACAGTATATAACAGGACAATAAGACTCGCCAAGGTTTTGAAGAGGTAGTTTTTTAAAAAACGTTTTTGCACTCTGCAGGCCTTCCAAACCCTCTGCACATCTTGTTTTTTGTGAAAAATGGGGCATGCAGAGAGTTTGAGTTTGAAAAATGGGGCCTGCAAAGTTCTCCTGGGGGTTGGAAGGGGCAAAAGCAAGCAAAAAGCTGCCCATTTTTCATACAAACAGGGATGGCATAGGCTTTGAGAAGCTTGTAGAGTGCTCCTCGGGGCTGGGGGGGGGCAAAAATGAGAAGAAACCAGCCCACTTTTTGTTCATTGTGGTCCTCCCCAGCCCCCAGGAACACTTTGCAGCCCCCCCCCCCAATCCTCTGCACATCCATTTTTTTTCAAATGGGGCAGGGTTTCAGGAGGCCAAAAAGGCTGTAATCAGATTCAGAAACGTCCCAGATTTTCACCCTCTTTTTTTTGGAGGGGGGGGGGGAGAAAGGTGTGTCTTATACTCTGAAAAATACGGTAGATAGCACCATTAGTATTTCATATCTGGGTGACTAAGGGATAGTCACTCTCTATCAGCCCAGCCTACCGCACAGGGTTATTGTTCTGAGGAAAATAGGAGGAGGGAGTATTAGCTATGACTTCCACCTTGAGTTATTTATAAAAATACTAACAGGGGAGATAAAATAATATTTAAAAACATTGAGGCCAGCCTATTCATTAAATATGTTTGAAATAATAGCTTGAACTATATCTAGTTACTCCTCTGCACTCCCAGCTTTAGATTTGAACTTTTTTCTCCTTTTATTTCTTTGTAGGTTATTCTTACCTCTAGTATTTTATTCTTCTGTCCTTCGTTTACTTTCCCAGCCAGACAACAATGGGCAAGTGCATTTTGGATGATGTGCTTATTGGATTTTGCACTGGGTTCTTTGTAGAGCTTTGGTCCTAATTTTTTTTTTTAAAGGGAGGGAGAGGAAGAGGACGTCAAAAAAAGATCAATACGATTTAGAAAAACAAGCCTTAAATACTACGATCATTCATTCGAATTCCATAGTCATCTGTTGTGGCCCAGCAGGAGCCGTTGGAGCTGCCACCAGACTCCGNTTGAAGTCCACAAGTCTTAAAGTTGCCAAGTTTTGGGAACCACTGCTCTATTACATTAAGCAGATTTCAGCTTGAGCAAAGTGTGGGGATTAATTGGTAAACTGAAATAGAAAGTATTACGGGTTTTTAAAGAAAAAGGAACGCTTATGAAATAAATTGGCTAAATATGGATGGAAATAATAAATGAATGTGTTTCTTGTGAAGAGTTCGAAAATAAATCCATGGGCCAAGGCTATAAAGAAGCTCTGATGTGCACAATTTTTGAACGTTCATTCTTTGTTTTGAAAGTGTGTTCTTGACATTGAAATAATCTCTTTGATTTTTAAACACGAATAGCTCCCCCAAAACATCTGAATGTGGAATCTTTTGATATTTTTTTTCAAAACTGTTATTAATATGGAATTATGCTATGCACAAGATTAAAGGCAAAAGGAGAAGGGAACAGCAGAGGATGAGATGATTAGATAATGTCATTATCTAATGACATAAATTTGGGCAAACACCAGGAGACAGTGGAGGATAGGGGAACCTGCTGTGCTACGGTCCATGGGGTCATGACTTAGTGAATGAACAAGAAGAAGAAGTTTGAAAATGACTCAGAAGATGTTCACTGTCTTTTCAGGCCTCTATGAAGCAGATTAAGAAGAGGCACTGATGTTTTTGAGCTTTGATGTTGCGAATAGCATGGCAGCCAAGAACCAATGACCCATGAAAACAAATCAACCCAGACTTCTAACTTGGGGCATGAATGACCAGGCTCAAAATAGCTTCATACATTATATGAAGGCCTACTTCTTTAGAGATGGTTCTATTGCCACCATAGGAGAAAGAAAAGAGAGGAGATTGACTCAATTACATAGTGATAGGTGCACCGTTAGAAGATCAGAAAGACCTTGAAATGGGCAGATCAACATGGAGAAAATCTATCTGTTAGCGAGTGGTCATTAACAGTCAAGGACTTAATGAAACATAATCAATCAATATAAGCCTAATGAATCAACTTTAATAAATTAATGCAACTCTTAACATGGAAACCTGAAAAAAACGACCTGATTTAATGAGCAGCAGAGAGATGATGTGATTAAAGTTCCAATCACTTCTGAATAATTTTCTAAGCGTGCACGGCCCTAGTGAGAATAACCCGAATAAAATGATTGCTTCAGATGCTAATTTGCTCAACAACTACTATTTAGAAAATTCAAAATTCTCTGGTTGCTAACTTATGTGGCTAGTACTGCCAAATTTCTACTCATATTTAAAAACAGTAAAGGAAATATAAGAACTTGCAACCTTGAATGTAATGTGCTCTGATGATGAAGCAAAAAAATAAATAAATCAAATTTGCTGATATCTTTAAACTTGTCTATTATTTAAAAAACGTCTCCATGCTGAGGGCATGGTGGTACATTCCAGCCTTATTTAATGCACTTGATCCGACATATAAAATATTTTAATATTAATTACTATATCAGTCACGTTTAGTCACTGTATTTTGGCTTCCACCCCTGATATGCAATAAATTGAGTCTTACGGAAGTCTGTAAAAACTGACTTCTTCATAAGTAAATTATATGGAATTTTACTTGATTAATGAGGCTAATCATAAAGGGGGGTTGATTTTAATAGGCCAAACTTTAAAAAGCAATATTTCTTTTTTTCAGAATTATTAGCGTATGCATTTAATCTCACTTTGTTTCTTCTTTCTTATGCTCCATCTCTGCTTCCAATTGCTGCTTTCGAAGTAACGTTTCTCGTTCTCTTCTCAACCGCTTCTCCAATAACGCTGCCCGTTTCACGGCCATGTCATTTTCTGGTTTTTGATCATCCTAGTAACAATAAATAACTTTTAGAAATTGTCATTTAAGGTCCAGTCAGGGCAACATTATTGACCTCATATAATTCCCCTATCACAGTGGTTCCCAAACTTGGCAACTTTAAGACTTGTGGACTTCAACTCCCAGAATTCTCCAGCCAGCAGAGCTGGCTGGAGAATTCTGGGAGTTGAAGTCCACAAGTCTTAAAGTTGCCAAGTTTGGGAACCACTGCCCTACCCCTTCCCCAACTGTGCTAGAAAATTTGAAATGAAAACTGCCCTGTTCCCATCTTGTTTTGCCTACAAAAAGTTCAAAACAAGGTGCATTAAACAAACATAATGCTTTTTTTTATTCTTGCTCCTTTAAATGTTGTTCTCTGGAAAGGTGGCCATGATCTTAAAGTAAAGTTCCACATGGTATCAAGAGATAGAATTAGTATGAACATAGCTGGGAAACCTAACCATCAGAGAAACAAAAATCCCTGTTATTTTAGAATTAATCTATTTCTAAAATTCTTGCTTTCCTCAAACATCTTAAATGCAGTATGATCTTTGAAAAACTACTACAAAGAGCAATGCAGGTAGTCCTCGATTTACAATTAATTAATAATTAATTTGTAATTTAATGATCTTATATGCCGCCCAATCCCAGAGGACTCCGGGTGGCTTACAAATACAAAATAAAATAAAATTACAAATAGGGGAAAGAAACAAAAACAATTTAAAAAACACAACATACATTTGGCTTAGCTGAGGGTTGGACCTGATTTATAGATCAGCAACCCCAGGCCTGTCGGAACAGGCAGGTTTTGGTGGCTTTTTGGAAGGCCGCGAGGCCAAATTATTTGTTTTGTAACTGTTTAGCAATAGCAATAGCAGTTAGACTTATATACCGCTTCATATGGCTTTCAGCCCTCTCTAAGCGGTTTACAGAGTCAGCATATCGCCCCCAACAATCCGGGTCCTCATTTCACCCACCTCGGAAGGATGGAAGGCTGAGTCAACCTTGAGCCGGTGAGATTAGAACCGCCGAACTGCAGATAGCAGTCAGCTGAAGTGGCCTGCAGTGCTGCACCCTAACCACTGCGCCACCTCGCCTCTGGTTTGAAGCTACAACGGCACTGAAAGAAGTGACTTATGACTGATTTTCACACTTACGACTGTTTGTAGCATCCCCATAGTCACGTGATCAAAATTCAATCAATGGGCAACTGGCATGTATTTATGTTTACACTGTCTAAGGCAGTGTTTCTCAACCTTGGTGACTTTAAGTCCTATGGACTTCAACTCCCAGAATCCCCCAGCCAGCATAGCTGGCTGGGGAATTCTGGGAGTTGAAGTCCACAGGACTTAAAGTCACCAAGGTTGAGAAACACTGGTCTAAGGAACATGTGAACACCATTTGTAACCTTTCCAGGTCGCATCTGATGTGGGGAAGCCAGATTCATTTAACAACCTCATGGTTCAGTTAGCAACTTCAGTGATTCACTTAACGATTGTGTCAAAAAGATCGTAAAATGAGGCGCAACTCACTTAACTGTCTTGCTTAGCAACAGATATTTGGGGCTTTGTTGCAGTTGTAAGTTGAGGACTACCTGTAATGAGTGAAAAATATTCAAAATATTCATTTTTTTCCCCACATTACATTATTTGATGCAGTGTATCCCACAACTCAATTGTCCAAACGGATTCTGATATATCACACTCACTTACCTTGAAGAAGAATCCGCAGCAGACTTTCTGGTCATCCTCTGCTTGTTCTTTGTCACTCTCCCCGTCTGATTTTTCAATCGAGTCTTCTAACTTTTCTGGTGGCTTCAGATCTGTGAGAGAAACTTCTATGAGACTCACAGTTTTAGGCGGGGGCAACACCGGCGGATTCAGAGGCTCTTCGTTCGGAGTAAGGCAGACAATTTCTGTAACGGGCTGTGACAATACTTCAGATACCATGGATTCCAGAGGTCTCATCTGTTCTTCTTCTGTCTTCTGCTCAACTTTCTCTCCGGTCCCTTGCTTCTCGGCATCCTTTAAACCTGCCTCTTCCTTGTCGGAAGCCTCTTCGGTTGCGTTTTTTACCTCAGTCGGCTTCCGTTCACCATCGTCCCCAAAACAGACAAAGGATCTTGTCTGAACCTGGCTTGGAGAAAACCTTCTCAACCGTGGAAGGCTGTCCACAGAGCGCGGGGCAGTCAACGTGCGGTTCAGAGGCGTGATTTTCAGTTCATTTGGCCTTGGGATCCTTTGAATTTTACACGGGAGAGACGAATTCTTCCTAGAAGACAGCTGTGGGGATTGGTGGGAAGGCCGAGGTGTTTCTACGGAAAACGGGACAACGGGAGATGACGATCCGCTGAGCTTCGCTGGAGGTTTCAATTCCCGAACTTGTTTTTGAGGAGAAGGTTGAGGAGGTGAAATAACCCAAGCTTGCTGTTCCCTCATCTGCAGTAGCATCTCCTGCTGAAGTGACAGGCGTTGCATTTCCTGTTGCAGGAAATGTAGAGAAGAGTTGAGCTTCTCGATGGATTTTGTATATTCTAAAAGGTCGCCTTCGTTTAAATTCTCTTCCGAAGGGCTTACCAAATTAGATTGCTTCTCGGCATCAGCTGGGGTGTTTGGTGGCTTTAGCCACGTCACCGAGGGAGTTTCAGTGCTTACTTTCAGGACCTCAGAAGTCTTCTTCAGTTCTTCACCCGGCTTTTGGTTTTTTCTTTCTTTCGCTTCACTGTTGTCAGTGAAAACTTTCTCACCCTCTGCTCCAGCTGCTTCCTCCCGAAGGGGCGAAATCCCGTCACTTTTCTTTTTCACAACATTAAGGAATGCTGTCCTCCCCATTTTTTGCCTCTGCTTGGTGAAGGCTGCCTCAACCTTCTTCTTCTGGGCTTCGATTGCTCGCCTCTTCTCTTCCAGCTTCATCTTCAGTTGCACCATCTCGGAAGCCAGCAACTGCGTGGTGTCCCTTCCCTGAGGGAGAGGGGGTTCCTCTGGGATTTGAGCCCAAGAAACGACGTGCGGGATGTTCATCTCGGAACCTTCGGGGGTGGTTTTCTGAGAACTGCTTCCACTGCTTCTGCTGTCGGTAGGATTCATCTTTTTAAATTTCTGCTCTGCAAAGCTGGTCATCCTAACTCCTGAACTTGAAGACGGACTGCTGCCGGCTTGAGATTTGGTACTTATCGAGCTTGGACAAGGACTCAATTGCTCCTTGTGGTTGATGCCTCTGCTGTCAGATTCCTGCAGAAAACGGGAGGATTCTTCCAGATCAGAATCCAGGCTGACTGTATAATCCCTTAAAGTAGAATCTTCATCCAGGGTCTCTGGAATGTCTGAAGGGACATGTATCCCAGTGTCTACTTCTGTGTTATCAGTCACAGGACTGAGGACATCTTTTGTATCTGCGATAATATCAGGGCCACTCTGATTCGGGGTTATGTTTGAGTTTAGGATGCTCATCTCTTTATTGTGAAGGAAAAACCCATTTGTGAATTGTGCCGGTGGAGTAACGTTGGCGGATTCCACACTGTCATGGATAATCTGCAACGCCTGTTCAATGCTCGGTGTCTCTATTTGATTGCCGAATTCATCAGTAGTAACCAACCTGTTTTGCAATCCTCCATTTCGTAGGGTATACGTGTTAACCTGGTTGGCATTTCTTTGATTGCTGACTGCTTCTAGATCACTGCAGAGTTCTTCATCCTTTTCTATTTCGGAATCTTCACTATCCTCTTCATCATCCAGAGGCTTGAAAGATATATTCCTTTTGACGTGCCTGGGCAAACGGTTGGCATTCTGTACAAGGCCTTCATTACTAATTGATCTCGTAATTCCTCTGTTTGGAGGTGCCAAACGGAGGCTGTCTTCTTTATCAAAAGAAATGTCAAATGAAACCCCATGGACTGAAGACCTGAAAGGGATTTTAAGATTAAGAAAATCTTAGAACAATCAATACTGAAGTTTAAATATTCCAACAAGTTGGAATTAAAGAATAATATTCTTTACGGTATCTTCAAACTAAAACTAAACCCCGTATTCAAGATATGAGTATTAAATGTGACTGAAGATAAGCAATGATTATCTTGCAAGGATGACACTTTAGAGATGACACCTGGAAAATTATTAAAGAATAACCTAATTCATCATATGAGGCAATTAATCCACAATAGGCAAACATCTTACCTTTTTTCTTTGGGCCACGTTCCTACATATCCATCCACGTAGGACATAGATGTTGATCTTTTAATGCCACCTATTTAAAATCAATACAGAATGCTATATATAAGAATAATTATTTGGAATAATTATTTAAAAAGAAAATATAAACTGCATTGGAATGAATTTTTTTTGCCCCTCCTGATTTATAAAGCAGGCTACATAAATTAAATATGCATTTATAATACCGCAGTCCTAGGCCAGGAACAAAGGAAGTGTGATGCATGCAGCTTGGCAGAACATCTGATGAGAACTGCAAAGTTGTTTTGATTACCCAACCTTGTTTTTCCTCACTTCCATTCACCTCTTCTCCAGCCCCCCTTCACTCTTTTCATAAACCACCACTTTGCTACCCTACTAAGAGGCTTCAGGGTCTGCCTATTGATTGATTGATTGATTGATTACATTTATATGCCGCCCTTTTCCCCGAAGGGGACTCAGGGCGGCTC